ATCCATCTTTCTATCCATCTATCCAGCTCTATCTATCCATCTGTATCCATCTATTCATCTGTATCCATCAGTATTCATCTATGTATCCATACATCTATCCATCCATCCAACCATCTTTTTGAAATCCTAACATACTTCCTTCTTTTTTGGACCTTATGCTACTTTTAGCTTTTAGCTACAGTTTTGTTGATCTTTGTCTTTTATTTACAGTTTTGCTCAATTTAGCTGATTTAATCAAAAAGAAACGAGCAAAGATCCATCTATCATCTTCAGATATAGGAGAAAAATTATATTGCAGACCTATTTCGTCCTATGATGACAAGTAAACGTGAAGCTTTTAGAAACAAATCCTATTTCAAAATGACTTGAAAGCATAAAAAAACTGCTCGAGTCCATGTATAAAGTTTAATTCATGTTTGTGTTTCCGATGGAGTCTGCCGCCTCTGATACTTAAAGGAAACATGGTGGATGTGGTCCACGACGATCTGTAAAACCTTCACTGACCTCTCTCCACTCCTTGTTGCCCATTCCTTGAGTGTAGAGAACACAAACTGTGAAGAACAGAGACGAGAAGCGTCATTAACATTAACCATTAACAACAAATTAACTCATCTAGTCAAGTTGCAGCAGCTGCCATGTATCTCTGCTGATAGCTGTGAAATATTAACAAGCTTACTTCAAACCATTCAGTAGCAACTTGTCAGTAATCGCTAAAAAAAATAAGTTATTTTGTTACAAGTTTGACAGGCAGAAGATAAAAACAGAGAAAACTGAATGTTGTCACTTTATAAAAGAGACAAAATTAATAAAACATACTTAATGTCATGGCTTAAATGACAAGTTGAATTATATGAGTTTTATTCCTAATGCTCAGAGATATTAACATAATTTCCTAACTCTCCTGCTGCCCTTGGCTCAAAATGACCCACGAGGCCAAGAGCAGCAGGAGGGTTAAATTAATATTCTGATATTTCCAAGTGGTTTTTTTTTTATATTTTGAACATTTACCATCTTACCTGTAATAGATAGCCATTTAAACACCACAACTTTGAAAAGTAAAAAAGTTTAATTCTAAACAACTGAAGAGCAAATGGCTAGTCTGAGCACAGCCCAAAAACAAAACTGGAGTAAAGTTGCTTTAAGCAGCAATTGTCAAATTAACTCAGCAGCTTGTTCAACAGCTACTGCTGCAGAAACATCATGATGTTCCCGCCTGTAGTCCTCCAGGTTGCATCAAAAGTGCTATAGCTAGCTGCTGCCGCCTTTAACATATGAAAATAACCACAAAATGCAGTTTAAACAAACAGAAAATGATAAAATGATAAAAAGGTGAAGGCCTAAAATAAAAATTGTGCAACCTGCTTTAAATTCTTGGGAGATTAAAGCAGTTTAACCCTCCTGCTGGCCTTGGCTCAAAATGATCAACGAGGCCTCAGTGTCAACACTCAGTCATTTTAACCCAAGGGTAGCAGGAGGGTTAAACAGCATCAACCCATTTCGTCTTGGCCCTGCTCAGACTAGCCGTTAGCTTGTCAAAAATACCAAACTCAAACTACTGTATGTTTCTCCGAGCTGAGATCTTCCAAAGAGCTCTCTGCAACAGGTGAGATAGTGACTGTTCAGAACCTGGACACAAACCGCACTTTAAATGTCCGAACGATGTATTTTAGCTAGAATAAATAAACGCTTCAGGACTTTGAGGGGACACGTCCTCACCCTCCTCTAAGTGAGCCCTCTGTTGCGTGACAAGCGGCGGGAGACGCTCGGGAGAAGAGAAACGAGGAAAAATCCAACATTTTCTCTTCGGTCGCTGCGTCAGATACAACAGAGCTTTTATTTATAACCCGCTGCTCTTTAGGTATTAAATACATTTTTACTTTCAGGTGACATATCCAAGATATATCTATAATTTTAAAAACCTCCTTGCTCTTTTCTCCTGTCAGCCAGGCTCAAATCAGACGACTGAAGTCACCGCGCTCAGCAGAAAAGACCGCCTCAGTTCAGTGAAACCCTCCTTCCAGTCACCATCACATCACCACTGGTCTCATCGTCAACATCAACAAGTTGACTCACTTTTCCCTGCTGTAAATGTGCTGACACACCTCGTTCGACTGTCTGAGTGTGTCATGGTCTGTTGTTACAGAGGTAATCATTAATATCCCAGAGACACGAGCTGCTCCAGGTGAAAACTAAAGGATTCATTTTGGGGATAAATCCGATTTTGGAAGAATTAAACAGCAGGATGGTTCAAAGCGTAGTGGTTTTCAGAGCGACATCCATCTGCTAATGCCGTCGGAGCTCACATTCTGTGATTTCAGGGGGGTCGTTTCAGCAGCTGTGATTACATGTCATTACAGCAAATGCTCATTATTTTGGGGCAGGTACCACTCTCAGACACATCCATTCAGTACCGGGTTGTCACGTCACCGACAAGAGCCAACAGATATTCTGAAATGCAGGGTTGTTGTAGAAAATATATATTTTTATGATTGAAAACCTTTATTTAGCCATCTGAAGTGACCATTAACTCAAAGTTTACAATTTTCTTTGGAGATACTCAACTGAAATCATCCCATAGAGGCATAATATGTCTTATAGACTAAATATGCCAAAAAAAGTGTTAATTAAACTTTGCTTGGGATCTTTAATTTATTTGCATGGTGCCTTAAATGCACAAAACTAGTCTTGCACAATCTCTTAGTGCTTAGAGTATATGTTGGGGATGACTCTCAGCTACTACAACGCCAAAATTTACCTGAATATCTATAAAACTGACTGTTATAGACAATTTTTGTGTTTGCTTGAGTTGACTCCATCTCCATCTTCTATCGCTTACCCGTAGCTGGGTCGCAGAGGCAACAGGTACAGGACAAAAACCCAGACATCTCCTCAGTGACGCTCTCCAGCTCCTCCTGGAGGACCTGAGGTGTTCCCAGATCAGAGAAGATACACAATTCTTCCAGCAATTGGCTTCTTACCATTGGGACAAGCCCAAAACACCTCCAAAGGGAGGCGTCCAGGAGGCACCCTAAGCTCTACTCAGCTCTACTCAGAGCTACGGAGCTCCTCGAAGGTTGAGCCCGGCCCACCCTACGAGGGAAGCTTGTTTCAACCGCTTTATCTGGGATCTCGTTTGTTCAATCATGATGCAAACCTGAGTGTTGGAACGTAGACCAGTAAATCGTGAGATTTGCCTTTCGGCTCAACTCTTCCTTCACCACAACCGACTGAAGCAAAGTGTTCATTACTGAGGATGAGGTCACCATCCGTTGATCCATCTCCCGCTCCATCCTACCATCACTCAGGAACAAGACGCTCAGAAACTTGAACTCCTTCACCACCAGAGGGAGTATTCCACCTGTTTCCAGTCAAGAACCATAACCTCGGACTTAGAGGAGCTCACACTCATCCCAGCTGCTTCACATTCGCCTGCGAACCACCCCAGTACCCAATGAAGGTCTAAGCCTGAAGACGCAAACAGAACCGCATCATCTGCATAAAGCAGACATGAGACAACCAGACGCCCTCTTCTTCAGGATTTTGCCTTGAGATGCAGTCCATGAACACCACAAACATGTCAACTCCGAAAGTTAATAAGTTGCAGATTTACTTTTAATGTTCACAGAGAAACACTTGTTTTCAAATTGATCTTTTTCCTGAAACACGGCAGTTTTACCACGTTTCCATCCACATGAAAACACCCAAAGAGGAACTTCAACTCTGTCACAGCAGAAGTAAAATATTTGTCAAAACATGAAGGGGAAGAAGACGACAATGATCTTTTTAGAAGGTATCAAGTCAAGTAACAGGCACAATCACAGCTCTTACATACAAGAGCTCTTTTGTCTTTAAACTTAATTTCTTGGTTTCGACACAATATCAATTTTTCACAGCGTGAAGACGAGAGGGAATTTGCCACCCTATCTGTAAATTGTTAAGGAGAAGCTTCGTGCATTAGTCAGACCTGCATGAGGCCAACCCGAGACATTACTGGGAAAAATCACTTTCACATAAAGATAAAAATGATGGGCCTTTCCACTAAGTGAGGCAATAAAACACACCATGTGCAGAAAAATATTCAGTTTTCTTACTTGGGTCTGATTTGGAGAAGGTGTCCATGTCCAGCAGGTTTCTGTGAAGACACAAAAGTGAAAAAAGGTTCAAAAGGTTTGTCGTCTTTTTTTTTTTTAGTTCAAGTTTTGCGGTTTGTGTAGAAACACCAAGTATGACAAACTGGACAATAACACAACCCTGACGCACTTCTGTTGCCACAAAAGATGAATCAAGTGGGAATTCAGTTTGACGATGAATAGCTTTCTTGATGCGGGTTGTCCCACCGCCTGAGTCAGACTATAGCAGTGGTTCCCAAACCTGGTCCTTGGGGGCCACTATGCTGCATGTTTTGGCTGTTTCTCTGCTCTTCAGCAGGTCTTCAAGTTCTACACAAGTATGTTAATCACTTATTTATTCAAATTGGGTGTTAAAACTGAGAAACATCTAAAACATGCAGGATAGCGGTCCTTGAGGGCCAGTTAACACGTGATTCTCAATTTGGGCTCAAATGTCAACCGGTAGCACGGTGCAATGGTTTCACTCCAACCTTTGCCTGAGAATAATATCTATATCACCAGCTATGTGTGCTAACAGCACGCTAAAGGCACATAGCATGCCACGTCAAATTGTCGTCCATTGTATTGGAACAGACATTCTTGACAACGGTGTTTCCATTCTTAAATGCTGGCACGCTTATATGCCAATTGCATCATTCCTAGTATATCAGATATTATAGTACAGTATATCAATAGTAGTAGAAGGCTGAAGTATCCCGTTACGGATACCTCACAAAGCAAGAATTTAACAGTTATTTTGGTATGTTGCTCTCTCAAGAGCACAAAGTCCATTTCCACCTATATGCAACAATCCATCTTAGGTGTTTACATGCCAAAAACCTTTCAATTCATTTCCTCCCTTACATTTGTCAAATCGCAGGCTGAGAAACGACTGAAAACACACCCTCAGCTATACTATACCGATTCAACCATTTGTCAATAGTGGCAGCAGCTGGATTGATGGCGACTGGTCGACCCCAAAAGAAGTCCCCTCCTCTACATCGGCGCTCTGCGGTCATCTCAAACTGGATGAAACTGTTCCATAAAGTGGACGATGTCTGTGTTTTAATAGTTTAAAGAATGAAAAACTGATACCCCTGTGTTTCAATAATGCTTTTTCAAAGTGAAGTATTTTAGGATTGATCAGATCTTTTAAAGTGAATGAACGACCTTCAGATAGCTTATTTGACAGCTGACGGTGTTTTTACATTAAGTATTGTATAGTTCCTAATGTAAGATTACGCTGAACCTCACCTAAAGGGTTTATTTGAAGGAACGATGTAATAAAACAAATATTTGTATAATTAGCCATAATTGGACTCGTACTCTAAGTGGAGTACATTGCAGTTCATTATTATGTTTCTATATAGGGATATGATGTAAACAGGAAGATAACTCAACAATTACACTTCAAGAAAGTTCTTTATTATGTTATTTTACTGAAATGTGCCAATTTCATGAGGTTCATTGTCCTTAGGACTGGTTCCGAGTAATAAAAAGGATAGTTCAGACCCTTTTGAAAGGTTATGAACAATTAATGTATGTGTTGTAGGCAGCTTTTTGGCCACCATTGGTTTGAAGAACTAGTTAAACTCTGGCTGAATTAGTGAGGTGACGACTGATACAAAAAGGGGCCAAACTCTAATGCCAAAAAAAGTGGTTTGTGCGGACACTATTTTATAAATCTTTCCATGTCTGTCAGTCTTGCATTACACCATTATTCAAAAATAATTTGATGGTTATTTCCAAGTTATCTCGTCATTCTGGTCAGGATTAAACTATTTCTCCCAATTACAGTTGCGACAACCTATGTACAACAGGTAAGATGTTGTTTGTTTGAATCTTTCCAAAGAATCCCATTTCAAAAGATCCCAAGTGTCAGTTTAAGCAAAACTTGCTGCTGCTTTTTAGTGTAGCAAGTGGATTTCCTGACGTAGCTGGCTACTGTCGGAAACATAAATGAGTCCCTAATTTCTGTAGTTTGACCAGTTTTATTTCATACGAGTTGTTATTGTCCGTGCAAATCTGTTCATATCTGCATCCCACATCGAGTTCACCACAGCTGCCAGAGCAGATTACTGTGGAGGGCAACATCTATATGAGACACAGGTGCAACAGAGCATCCAATTATACAGGAAGATGGGCGACGTCAAGGTTTTAGTGCTTCCATGTTTATGCAGACGCGCAGGACACAAAGCCTGCTATCATAAAAATGAAAAAAGGTTTGTTTGAATTATGAAAGTAATTTAGATGGAAACTGCATTCTTGATCAAAACAGAACAGCGGGCACCATCATCTGAGTAACTATTTACAGGAGAATGTCAAAAATAGAATCACTGGCTCAAAAAGAAAAGCTCGGTGCTGCAGAGCAGAATATACACAAAAATACGACGTGTACTAACTTATGCTACAGTACAGTCACGCAAATCCCTTCTGGAAGTTATTGCTTGTTTTTCCCGTGAAGGAAGAAAAAAAAAAGCTTTGGAAATTGAACACAGATTTCAAAGCATGACTTCAACTCTGACATCATCCAGAGAAACAGTTCTTGTGGTTTAGAAATTAATTATGAAACACTTTGAAGGCAGGACTGAGACCTCTGTGATCATCTGTGCGATTAAAGGTAATAAAGACAATAAACTAAGAAAGTAGGAAATATTTTCTGGTGGTCTGACTGAAGTAGGTGCTTGCAATAAGCAATAAGCGACCAGTAAAGCGCTTTTATTAAAAATAATAATAATAATCGCAGATTATTGTCATGCCATGTGCACTAGAGGATGACATTTGTGGGTCACGGGATTCCTGCAGGATTCAGGCACACTTTATTATAACTCACAGGATTGGGATGGGACAGGACGAAAAGTTAACAGGACCAGACAGGAGTGGGAACCAACAAATAGGACAATAAAATAAAATAAAATACAGTAAACTTTGGACAGGCGCCGCTATTTTGTAGTTTTCTTTCAATAAGCCTTCACTCTGGAATACCAGACCTGCAATGCTCCAGTCTGTAATGTGTTAAACACAAAGTAATATAAAAAAAAGAATGAGTAGAAGATTAAATCAAATTCAGTGTATTTCCTAAAGAATAAATGGAAGAAATTAAAAATATATATATATATATGAGCGGTACAAGAGTGGGAGTCATTCCAAATGGGAGCAGGAGTCATGTTACCAGGATTGGGACAGGACAGGATTTTTTTCTGTGGGACCAGGACAGGAGTGAAAATCCACTCCCGTGTCATCCTCTAATGTGCACGGCTTGCAAACCTGTATTCCTGGTCACGCACATTATTTTGTTGTCCATCTCTGCCCACAGGTGGATTTGAGATGTCCACAACAAAAGGTCTTCACACAAACTTTTTAAACAAGTTGAAAATTTAAGCGACGAGCCTCTACGCCTCATGCGACTTGTAAAGAAATCCAAAATTCCCTGCAAATGTTGCGAGATGCTGTTGACAACGATCGCAGCCCGGTAGAATGCTGACTTTACAAAAACACGAGGCAGGATGAGTGGATTGAAGTCAACCAGCCACTGTGATGCCTCTGAGCCGCCCAAGAAAGGTAGAAACAGCTGTTACAACTGATACTGGGCAGTGATGTTTTTAATTTTCTAGAATGGTTAAAATATGTTTTTGAAGACATAATTAGTCCAATGTTTCATTGATTCCATTTTTAACATTATATTTTTCAAATTAAAGACGAGGTGCTAACTCCAAACCCACTCCTCCACTCACCAAACACCCTGAACATGAGCCTGTGTCTATTTCTGCCTTTGTTTTTCTAAAGAAGTACAAATTCCAGACCATGGTCAAGGGTGGAGTGCACCTCCACACTGATCAATCAAACTGACGAAACACCCCGATTAGCATAATTAGCAGCATGATATGCATCTGTACCTAAAGCTTCTAGATGGTTTATCAGGAAGACCTCAAGTCTTCATCCCAACCATGTGGACACAGTCATTGTAACACAAACATAAAATGAGCTTAAACACTTAGCCTTCCTAAATCAAACACACACAAAAAATTGTCTTGTTTACATATTAAGGTCCACGTAAATATTGTTGAGTTATGCACCAAGCCTCCTATGAACCAGCAATGCTGGCTTCATTTGAAATGTGACCAAACTAGTTGGTTATGGATAAATGGCCGATGGCGACTTAAAAAAGGAGCACATCTTTTATCACAGAAAAGGGTTCTTTCATAAAAGTTTCATGCAATGGCCACACAGACTAATCAGTCTTTATCAGCTGTTCAAAAATCAGCAATGGAAACGGCCATGTCAAGCATAACAAAAGCCAAGAGGCATGAAGCAGGAATCATCTGGGTTGACGTGGAGCGCAATGCATAAAGATGTGCGATGGGCGTCTCCCTCAAATCTTTTTCAAAACATGATAAATAAACTTAGTATAGAGACTCTTTAGTTGGCTAATTAATATTTTTAATGAAATACAAAGTTGCTGCGCATCACCTCTGTAATAAATCTGTTGCTGTTCGTCTGACGGGCTGTACGTCATTATTCATCACATTATTAAACCGCAAAGCTGTCTGCCTTATGTCGGCCATTTCGCCTCTGTTACTGCCTCAACTTGTGGCAAATAGATGCACCAGTGGTGGTTTGGCGGCGGCGTCTTGGTGCTACTCAGATCTTATCTACGGTTAGCAGCTATAACTGAAACATTGTTTTGATCTCACGACTGAAATATACAGAAAAAAAAGTAACTCTGTCTACACGAGTATTTAAAGTAGGCCTGTCGCGATAAACAATAAATCAGTAAATTGCATGATAAATGAAAATTATCTATCTCATTTTCATTTATCGGCTTTATCGTTTCTTCGTGTCTCTTTCTACTGAAGACACTGGATGACAATAGGTTCAACTCCGGTGCTCTTAACTGACCCCTCCCTTTCTCTATAAAATCTGTTTTAACCGTCCAAAATAGCATTTTCGGATCATTAAAAGCTGAGAAGATAAGCTAAAAGGAAAAAACGTCTTGTCAAAGCTCCAAAATTCACGGATGAAA